TTTAACGCAGTAAACTGCATATTATCTATAGTTATAACAATGGAAAACTACCAGAGATACACATGAAAACAATTTCTACAGATTTTTAATAATAGTGTCATTTATTTACTACAGAAATTTTAATTTTTTTGACACAGGGTAAAATCTAAGTAATAGAATATCGACAATGTAAACAGATTTCTATTCTTATTATTTGAAATAAAACAAAATGAAATAGTTATATCGAAGAATATTGTTTTATAAAAATATTTCTCGAAATAATAATTATTAATAAAATGAAAATAATAATAAAAATAAGAAATAAAATTCTAATAATAATAAATGATAATAAAGATTTATTTTTTGTTGTTGAAGATAATTTGTCTATTTGTTGTTCAATTTTAATATCTGTCTGAAGAATTTTCTCATCAATTGAATTTATAATTTCACTTTGATATTCAACAAAATAATTAAAATCATTAAATAAATCTTTTAATTGTAATAAAGTATTTTCTAAATGATCAATTTGTTTTGATTGATTATATAATAATTGTTCTTGTTCGGAATTATTAATCATAATATCAGGTACAATAATAAATTCATTTAATTGATCATTACTTGCTTGTCGACCTAATAAATGTAATTGTCGATCAAGACGTTGTTTAGATAATAAACGATATTTTTCATCATTTTCATTTATTTTTATTAATAAATTATGATATTGATCACGTAAATATTTTAATTGATTTTTATTTATTTCATATTGAATTCCTTTAAAATATTTTTCTTTACATTTTATTTGATATAATAAATTTCGAATTCTTAAAGATATTGATCTTAATTGAGATGATTTATCATTTAAATTATTTAAATTATCTTGTAAATTCATATGATGTGGAAGAGATACGAGTAATGAACAATGAATATTTTCAATTTCATTTGAAATTTTTAACATTAAATTTAATTCATCACGAACTTCATTTATTTCATTAAAACCAAATGAATTTATATTGTCACAAGCCATTCAACATTTTAAATATCCAATTCATTGATCAATAATCAATATACAATAGAAATACAAGAAAAGAAAGGTAAAAGAATTTATTTTACTATTCGATCATTGACAAATGTTATTTTCTTCTAAATAGTGGAAGATATTTAACTTGTCAAGATAATGTGATTCATCGAAAAACTATGTCATAAATAATAGAAAGACATTTTTTGTAACATTATCAGTTATTTCTTTTTCTTTTTTATTTAGCTATAAAGAATGTTACATAGACATTTCTTTAAGTTTAACAAATTAATTATTTTATTACAAGAGTGGGTGTCAATCTTATCAATCTCTTCACCCACCCACATAGATAAGGGAAAAAAGATCATATATATATATATTGTTGAATTAGTAGATTTCTTTTTTTATGACATTACATGAAAGATCATTGTCAGACATCAAACTAATTCATCGAATATCTTTTAGTTTCGTATATTGAATAAATATTTAACTGCATTTTGAAAGTTTTACAGTTCATTAGTATATTAGATCAAAATTAAATTAAACTTAACAAAATAAGTTTTAATTCGATATAGTTGTTTCTCGATCGTTACTTATACTGGAAGTTCTATCATTGCTCTATGAAAATGCATCATAACTTATTTTTTTTATTATTCATATAGAAAACAAATAGATAGTTTAAAGAAATATATCAAAATGAATAAGAGAAAAGACTATTTGTAGAAATCAGAATTTGTATAATAATCTTATTTTTAAAACATGACATGTTACAAAATCTATCCAATTTATTTAATATCATATGTAAAAGTTTCATTGAACATCTATGAATATCGATATCAACAGTGAGTAAATAAATAAATACATAAATCAAAATTGGATTGAATTAGTAAATATTCACCTATAATTTATTTCTGTATGATTTTAAAAAAAGATTTATTATTATAAAACTAAATAAAATTAAAGAACACCAGTTAATGATAAACTAGCTGCAACAATAGATCCTAATGCAATACCAAAATAAAGAGAAGCAGTCATTAAATAAGCAGCTCTTTCACAATTATTAACTCCAACAATTGCTGGTGGACGAACCATAAATGTAACTGTTGCAAGAAGACCATTTGTTAAACCCATAAATGTTATTAAACAAAGAAGAAGAATACTATCGATACTATGACGAAAAACTATAATTAGAATAAATAAACTTCTTGAAAGAGCAGAAAATAAACAAATCCATTCGGAAAAATATTTATGAACTTTAACAGCAAGTGTACGACCAATAAGATCTCCAAAATTAAATGTCATTATAATAAATGGTGAACACCACCAAACTTTTCCATCGGAATTAAACCAACCAGTCCTTGATGCACTACATGGTATACCTGGCCATAATAATAAACTTATAAATAGAACATAAAATTGAACAAATAAATGAACTTTTAAAATGTTTGTTAATTCCCAAAATGAAAGTTCATTTTCAGTCTGATGCAATTCAGCAACATCATTAAGATTGTTTTGTTGAAATGAAGCCATTTGTTGATTTATTCTTAGATTAACTGGTGGAAGATTAATTAAACTATAATAAATATAAATAGCTAAAATACATAAAACAATTAATACACTCATAAATATATAAAATGATAATTGATCTTCATCAATATGACTATGTGCTGCTAATACAATTAAACGAATTATTGTATTTGCACAAACATTTAAAAATCCAGCCATACCATTACCGACTTGAACAGCTTGAGTAAATGAACCTGTTGTAAATAAACCAGCTATACCATAGATTGGTGATTCAGTTATTGTATTAACACCACCAACACTTGCAAAAGCAATTATTAATACATATTTATTTTTTATAGCCATTACAAATATTGCTATTATTATATAAATAATAAAACCAGGTACAACACGTTTTGTAAAACCATATTTATAAACTCCAAAATATAATTGGATTACATGTAATATAAACATTGATGTACCTGCTGATACTGTTCCCCAAAAATCTAAATGATCATGTGGAAAAAATTTAATATAATAATTTTGTGCAGATATTAATGATTGATATGCCCATAATACAACTAAATTAAGAAAAAGAAGTCTCCAATAGATACCATTATGATGTTTTAATAGATCATTCTCGTTTTCTTCTTCACTAGGTATCACTTCAACAATATTTATTTGTAAATTATCATCTTTGTTTTCTTTAATACCTAACATTATCATCTAAAATTCTTTTTTTAAAATAAAATATTTTAATTAATTATTAAATACAAAATATATTTGTTTAAAAATTATAATCAATTATAGAAAATGATATTCTTACAATATAATTTGTTTTTCTATAAATATTATTTGAATAAAGAGTTTAAAGACCTAAGATTTTCTTGTAAATAAAATATATGTGTGTTTTTTCTTATATAAAGATAAGAAATAAAAAACATGTTTCACTCTGATGAAAATAATATCAACTTATGATAACATATAAAAGTAACAAACCTTTCTATATGACAGTTATATCAATGTTGATAAATAATAACATTGCATATTTTGTTTTTAATTCGACGAGTTTAGCAAATAAATAGAAGTTTTCATCTGGAATTTTATTAATATAATTAGAGATAATAAATTATCGTGTTATTTAAGAAAAACAATATGATCATAATTATTAAATCGTGTAATTATTCATATAAAAAATTAGATAAACAAACTTTTATAGGAACTAACAATGAACAGACATTTAAAGATTATTATATATATATATATATATATATAATGTTTAAAATATTGTATGATCAATAGGTTGTTATTCAACGAGGTACTGAAAGAATGTCTACTTTTTCCCAATCTCGTAAACAAGGTTCATAATCATCGTTTTTGTATTTAATTGAATTTTCCTTGTGTAAAAATGATTCATGTCATTAAATAAATGTTGCATTTCATTTCTATTATGATTTTCTTTCTTATATAACAATGATAGAATTGAAGTAGGATAATTCCATTGGAATCTGCCATCGTTACGATGAATTTCACCAGCCAAGCGGAACCTTTCAGTAATATGAGAGCTCACTATCCTAAGACTATTGTAAAATAGATTCTACGAACTTTTTCTCCGCATCAATTTTTTGTGGCCTCGAAAAGTATTTTCATGATTTTGTAGTATTTTCTTTTTTTCTATAAGTGTAGACGGTATTGAACATTTTATATATAGATATACAGTAAATGAAATGTTTTAACTAATG